GTATAATTGATAGTTTTGTATTTTTTCTGAATTAATAGAATGAATAAAGGTACTTTACCTTAAAATAAGATGATAGAAACAAAGTTTCAAAAATTTTATTTATTCCAACCTATGTAACAACTTCATTTGGTTCAAATTATAACTATGAAAAAGCTCAAACAATATTTTAGAAGGAAATATTATAGTTCTAGGATTTGGAATTTAATTTGAGTTAGATTTATGATTAAATTGGTTTTCCGATTAATAGACATAATAATCATTGGTATTTTCTTTTATTTAATCTAAAAGAAAATTATATATCATATTATGATTCACTAAGCACAGCAATTTTAGATAATTATCTACTTTCAACTTTATCAAAATTATTAAAATTTACTCAAAAATTGAATTTTAAAATAGAAGAGCAATTTTAATAGCAAAGAGATGGATATTCATGTGGATATCGTATTTGTTCATTAATGGAACATTTTTCAGAGAAATAATTTAACCCTTAAATTTATTATAGCTATAATGAGACAAGATTAACTAAATTATTATAAGAAGTTATTAGAGAAATAGAATGAATAAATATAATTTATTATTTTATTATATTAGCTTTGACTTAATATCTCCAATTAAAATTGAAATAATTATCTTTATTATATATGACATTTAAAATACTGTAAGGGGTTTCTAATTCTTGTATAACAAATTGTTAAAATTTTATACTATTACAATGTAGATTATTTTCTTTGACTTTAATTAGGTTTAAATTTGAATCGAAAGAGATTATAGCATTACTGTTAAATAAATTTAAACTCCAATTTGCCTTTGAAGAAAAATATTAATTTGAATCAAATGGCTTATATTATTTCTCAAATGATTATTTTTTGATTTTCTCATCTAATTCATAACTCTTATAGTTACTTTTTGAAAAAGCATATAATTTATGAAATAAAAAATAATCACAAGTTACCAATAAATATTCTAAATTCTAGATTATCTAAATTAATTTAAGAAGTGATATTTAAATTTGAATGATTAACCAAGCGGATTTTATAAAATACAAACAAAAAATATTATATTAAGATTAAAAATATATTAAGTTTCTACCATATACAGATTCAAATCTAACATCAAACTAGAAGTATGATTTAATTACATATTTTAGACTTTCCTTTATCACGAATTCTATTTTGCTGTTGGAAATTATACGTAAATATTAATTTACTATAATTAGTGATGCCAGTGCAGGATGGAGAACGGTTTAAGTTGAATTTACTTCAGGATATTGTCGTAGATGTTGTTAATTATTTGATGTATGGATTAATATAATTATACTCCATGCTCAAAACCACATCAGAAATTAACTGGTAGTTAATGTTATGTTTACGATGATGAAATACCTTGTATTCATATATTTATATAATTAGATTCTAAATATTTTATTTAAGAATATATAACTTTCGCAACTGATCCTGAATATAAATACTTTATATGTGTATTTAAATATACACTTATTTCTCAAATAGGATTATACTTTTAAATGGATCAGATATATATATATATTATTCATATTGGTAAGGATATAGAATACTTGGAGGACCTACTGTCTAGGCTTATGCTAAATTTTAATGAATTCATAATATAATTGACCCACACAATAGTATCACTATTGCATTTAATATCCTTTATGGACCATAATAACCAACTGATGGAAGGTTTATCTATAAAATTGAAAATAATACAACAGTCTTTAAATTAACTGCAAGCTTTTATTAATCTTATTTTGATGGATCTTAATACGATAAAATATATGAAAGAATAGTTCATGATACGAATTCCTTAACAATTACCTGTGAATGTTTAGGTTCAAATAATGAGCCGATTTCTGGTTTATTGAGGATTTTTTAATTATTTTATTGCTATTCCTAATTGTAAACCTTATTGTTAGAAATTTTCAGGTTAAAATACATGTTAAATGGAACAGCACATATTATTAAAATATTGTAAGATTTTCTTAAGAAGAATGTTTAAGTAATCAATATTTTGATAGAGATACCTTTAGATATTTATATTGTCCTTTAACTTGTTTAACATGTACATGTGTATCAACGTATACTCGAACTAAATAAGGATGTATTTGTCAGTTGAATAAGTATGAAGATTCAAATCAACGCTTAAATTGTCCATATCAGTGTAATTTATGTTAAGTTCTATCTATCTGTTATTATTAGAATTGAATAAATAGTATCAACATGCAAATGCCCAACAGGTACATATTATTAAGATGCTTTAAAAAAATGTTCTTATTGTCATTACACATCTTGTTTTAATTTTAGAAATACAATTGTTGGTTACTTAACATGCCATTCTACTTTATATAAAATATTAAAAGGATTGAAATGTGAATGTAAGACTGGGTATTATGATTTTTTGAATATTTGTCAAGGTATTCATTCTAATTATAATTTTAGATTGTCCAACTACTGTAGATATATCTTTCAATTAATGTTATAAATATTTTAATAATAATTAAATATGGCACAATATTGCTTGGGATATTTGTGATTTTGAATTTCAATTAATAGCTGGAGTATGCTAACCTATTTGTGGAGATTTAGAAAAAAAAGGACATGAATGATGCGATGATAATAGTACTAGTTTAGATGATTTATGTTATAACTGCTAATTTCAAGGCTCATTTATTGTTTAAATTGTGATTAAACAACTACTTTACCTTGTCCAGATTTTTGTGCAGATCGAATAATTAGTGGAATTGAGGAATGTGAGAATGGATACACTATTTAATATAATGGATGCTTTGATTGTAAATTTTAATGTTAACTTTAATGCACAACATGTATTAAAATAAGCGTACGGAGCAAATTAATTTGAATTGGGTGCAAAACTACATTATCGATCATTATTCGTATGCACATTATTCATTATTTTTTTTATTTTCAACACAATTGATGTCCCTTATTAATAGGTATATATGTGATTCAATTTAACAACGATTAGTTTAATAAGCAGGAAAGTTTAATCAATATATGATTGCAGCGGTATATTTGGATGCTATTTTTCACTAAGGTATCTCGTAATGGATAAAAAATTTGTAATTATCAATTATCTCATGCGATTCAGTTATTTTTTTATTGTTTCATAAGGAATGGGAGCAATTGGATGTTTACTAGGTTGTTTAAACTAGTGATTTACTTTATTTTTGTAACGAAATGTTGTGAAACTACTTTATTTCAATTTAAATTTGTAATTTTACACAATGCAATAAAATTTCTAAACTAGCTATTTTTATTCGATCTATCTTATTATTGGAATGGATAAGTTATGATATATTTAGTATTCGTTAGTTATTTAAATGAATCACTAATTAGTGCTTGTGTTTTGATGGCCAATTTTGCATCATTTATTTATTAATTTAGCTATGGTAATTCTATGGCATCTACTATATTTGTTGGAAATGAAATGGGAAGAAAAATTTAATAATGGCCAAAAAATACACCAAAGCAACTTTTTGATTGTTATGATGATATTCTTAGTAATTATTCTCTATTTTTGGAAATTTTGATCCAAAAAGTGAGTCATGAATAATTGTTCTTAATGAGATAATGAATTTATTGTATATTCTAGTGTTTTTCATTTTGATAGATGGTAAAAAAAATAAATTAATATTATAGGATTGTAAGCATTTATTTCTGGTTTGGTAAGAGCAGTTGGTTGAGAATTCAGTGCCTCTAAAATATTTATATTTTGCTAAATTGTTTTAGGAGAAGTCATGGGATACTTATTATATTCAACTTTAAATTTGTAATTAAAAAGGATAATGGATTGGAATGATTTTTAAAGCTTTAACATATCATATTATACAATTT